CACAAAACTGGAGAACTTATTAATCGACTTTCATCTGATTGTTTACTTGTAAGCCAGACTGTTACTTCAAATATTTCTGATGGACTACGTTCTACTATAATGGTTGTCAGTGGCGTTTCTTTTATGGTATTGTTAATTGTTTTCTTAGTATTTTTACAAATTTGTTTTATTCGTTTTATTATTATCTATGTATTTAGTTTTTTGTATCTCCAAAATTAGCTTTGGTTGGCTTATCCATAGTTCCTCCAATTGCTGCTTTAGCTGTGGTATATGGACGTTTTGTTCGAAAGATTACTCGATCTGTACAGGTACCTATGTACAATTAATTATTTATTACATTATAATAAATGTATTACAAATGTTATTACATTTACACATGTGTATATTTATTTTAGAAGATAAAGAACCCAGTATCCACTATTATAATTATTGGAACTATTCTAGTTTAGCTCTCATGCGATTTTTTGGGGCCTTTTTTTTTTCCAAAATGTGAATTTTTGAGTACACATTAAGACTGTAAAAAAAAAAAAGTGACAAACTTTGTTTTACCTCATAACTTTCAAACATAGTTTGTCAGATTTTTTTTTTTTCATATTCTTAATGTACATGCAAAAATAGCATGGGAGCTAAACTAGAATTATACCTAATTATTTATTATCACCAATCTGAAATTTAGTATTATCTTGTGTAATTAAATTTTTTATATAAGACAACTATAAGATACATATTTAAAATGCAGGATTCATTAGCTGCTTCGAATCAAGTTGCCGAAGAGAGAATATCAAATATCCGAACAGTAAAAGCATTCAGTCAAGAAAAAAAAGAAATGTTCCAGTATGGAGAAAAAATGCACGAAGTATTGAAGCTTTCTGTTAAAGAATCATTAATGAGAGGATTGTTTTTTGCTATGGTGAGTCAAATCAATTTTTCATTAAATCTATATTTAATTATTATATAAAAATAAATTAACACATTACTATATATTAGTTTAAGTATTTGTCAAATATATTATTTTTGTTAGACAGGATTTGCTGGTAATTTTATAATCATATCAGTGTTATACAGTGGTGGTTTGTTGGTCAGCGAACAAGCTATTAGTGTCGGTGAATTGAGCTCATTTTTACTATATGCAGCTTATACTGGTGTATCTATTGGTGGTTTGTCTACATTCTATTCTGATATTAATAGAGGTCTGGGTGCATCATCAAGGATATGGGAAATTATCGATCGTAAACCATCTATACCAATTTCTGGTAATTTCTGATTCTTTTAATATTATTAATTTGTTTACAATACTTACACAAGTTGATTTTTTAGGTGGGCTAAAACCTTTAACTGGTCCTAAAGGCGATATAAGCTTTCAAAATATTGTATTTAGTTATCCAAATCGACCAGATGCACCTATCATTAATGGCTTAAACTTAGAAATACCTAGTGGTCAGAGATATGCATTAGTTGGTCATAGTGGTAGTGGGAAAAGTACATTGGGTCATTTGTTATTACGACTATATGATCCACAAAATGGTCAAATATGTTTAGACAAAACCGATATAAAAATATATGATCCAGTTTGGTTACATAGTCACATTGGAGTTGTTAGTCAAGTAAGTGATTATTACTAAGAGTATTAAAATTATATTAATAGCATAAAATGTTCATTTTTTTACTTATCATTTCATAGGAACCAATTTTGTTTTCTGGGACAGTTAGAGAAAATATTGCTTATGGCCGTGAACAATTTACAGAAAATGAAATTATCGATGTTGCAAAAGAAGCAAATGCTTATGATTTTATTGTAAACAAATTTCCAGACGGATTCAATACTGTTGTTGGAGAGCGTGGGGTTCTTCTGTCTGGTGGCCAAAAACAGAGGATAGCTATTTCAAGGGCATTGTTGAAAAATCCAAAAATTTTATTGTTAGATGAAGCTACAAGGTAATCATTATCATTGTGTAATGTATAATATTAAGACAATTATATTTATTATGGTTTTATTTACTTAAAAATGTATTTAGTGCATTGGATGCAGAAAGTGAAAAGTTAATTCAAGAAGCACTGCAGAGACTTTCAAAAGGAAGAACTGTACTAACAATTGCACATAGGTTATCAACTATTAAAAACGCAGGTAGAGTCATTATACTTTTTAAATTGAATATTTTTTAATGCATAATACATCTTAATACACTGTATTATGTATACAGTTCCACTGTATTAATAATTGTATTGGAATACTATGTAAATTGGCAAATTGGTTTATTTAAATTAAGTGTAACATGGATAAGTTAGATTGAATTAAAATACACATTTTTATATTTTAAATGGGGACAATTTTTAACACACAATCAATATTAAAATATTATATTTTTTTACAATCCTGGTAATTTGAGAACTTTCTTACTTAAAATTATTTGTATTTTTTTTTTTTTTTTTTAGATAAATTAGCTGTTCTTTTTAATGGAAAAATTGTTGAGTTGGATTCCTATGACGCACTAATGTCTATAGAAAATGGTTTATTTAAAAAACTTAATAAAAATCAAATACTGACAAGTTAATGTTTATGTCATTATTTTAACAAGTAAATTTATATTATATTAGGTATATATATTATGTTAAATATATTATTGTTATTGTTTTACATTATATTTTCTCTATGTATGTATTATATTGTATTTAATATAAAATATTATTATATTATATATTATAGTGTATAATATAAGGATTATGGATCTTTTCTGTTTTCCACTAAAATTTCAGGATCGGATTTTAAAGTCAAATTTTGACAATGAAACATATTTAAAACATTTAGAACACTTATACACAATAGTATTTCAAAAAGTTTAAATGTGAAATATTACAATTTATTGTGTAAATACCACTATTAGTTCATGTCAAATAACTCGAAACCCCAGATTATATTAGCTGTCCCGCGCCAATTTGTATTATTATTATTTAACCCCTATATATTTTTGGTATTGGCCGTGTCAGAATTGAATGAAAACAAATTGGTAGAAAGGGAGTAGTTAATCTTTAGCAGAATAAATGTGTTATATTTATTTTCGATTAATTTCTTTCATTCGCTTCATCTGAAACCAAAGGCTAAAGTAACATTACGATTAAATATAGTAGTATTCGGTATTCAAATATTACAAATTTAAAATATAGAGATAGATACAGTCATAGACATATACATTTAAATGAAACATTCAACCGAGGACTGAGAGGCATAGTCGGTCCAACCATATCAAGAGAGATAGGCTGGTATAAAGCCTAGTGTAAAAGAGAGCTAATTTGCACTCCAAGTACAGCTATTTAAAACATTCCGTTTATTATCTCGCGTGTTTCTGTCCTCGGAATGAAACACCACTTGCCACCAAAGTCATGGTCTGAATAACAAAATTAACTTGGAAATAAGTCCCCGTGTTGAATGTAGGTTTTTAATTTTTTTTTTTTTTTTAAATATTTATTCTTTACATCCCATGGAATCTTAATACTGAATTTCATGAAAGAGATGTTTTTATAATTTTGTCTCCATTAGTATTAAATGTTATAATAGTTTCTTCTGTCGGGAGGACTATTAATAGCATTTCGTTAAACGGAATTAAAACGTATCCTTCTTCTTTATGATACGGATGATTTACCTTTTAATTAAAACGATAAACAACAAATCGAAGAAATAAATGGCCATGTTAAGGTTATACAGTGTCGGCGTTTGGAAGAAATACCGGACAAATCGGAATTAGTCATAATTGGAATAAAACGAATACGTCACAGAAACAAAGTTCGTTACATATTGCAGTACGATAACCTGGATTCATTGTACGTATCAAATTTCTGGTTGGAGAAAGAAATGATGTCAGATGTTAATATAGATTTAAATTATAAAATAAAAATTAAGATGAATAGAATTAAAACTACTCCTAGTGAAAATAAAGTAAGGCAGGGTTTTTGTGTGTAATAATGTATAATATATGTATAAATATTTTGTATTGTTAAAAATAATAAATAAGTATTTACCTATATAAATTTTGTCTTTTTATTTAAAAAAAAAAACCCTTCCATTAAGATAATATAAATTTAGCATAATATTTAAAAGTAGTTGAAAGTGGGTAGCTGAAATTGTATTAAGGTTAATTTCAGATAATATCTGTTGCATAGTCAAAAAATGTTACCACCTACCTTCTCACTTGTTCTATATGATTATCAAATAATTATTCCTAAGTTTAATTTTGATCACTTATATAACCATTTCGTTCATTAAACGGGCTCAAATTTATACGTCTTCAATCAGAATTCTGCTTTTTTTTTCCCAAACTAAACTGAACATACATTAAATATTGCACAAGTTAATATTGAATGTCGTTTAAATTTAACGTTAGT